ATTTCTATTCTATTCTATTCTATTCTATTCTATTCTATTCTATTCTATTCTATTCTATTCTATTCTATTCTATTCTATTCTATTCTACTATATAATTTTTACAAGGTTTCATATATATTTTTCCTAGGGTTCCTTTTACCCTTCTTCTCCACCTTTGCTTCCGTCCTCACCTCACCACATTTTTTTTTGTGGGGGTGGGAAGGTGGTCTCTTCACTGCTAGCCTCCCCCCCCCCCCCACCCCCCCACACAGGCAGGGTAACTTCTGGTGCCTTTGGCATATGGGCACCGACCTCACTTCAAGGAAAATGACTGCGATCTTCATCTTAGGCCAAGGCGGGAGCGCGGAGACATTTATGAAACTTGGTTTAATGTACTGAAAAGCCATCGGCTAGAACATTTAGGAAATTGATTTTCCTGGCATTGATGAACCCTTTTTTATTTTACCCCAGTATTAATTACTTTTTTTTTTAATTTAAAAAAAAAACAAATTAATTTAAGTGTCATAAAACCGAACAAGTCAGCCGGTCGTGTTAGCTCCTTCTCTTCCCCGCCCTCCTGCAAAAAATCCCCCCCCCCCACTTGCTCAGCTGCAGCTGGCGACGTGGAAGGCAAGGCATAGGACACTTAAGATGCCCCATCCAGTGACGCATTTTCTGTCTTTCTGTCGCTTACTCCAGGGGAGGCGTCTTCATTGCGAGACTATGCGGCTACCACCATGACCGAGTTCCTGGGCATGTTCGGCTACGATGACCAGAACATGCGGGATGAGCTGGCACGGAAGATTAGCTTTGAGAAACTGAATGCTCCTACCTCAGAGACCAACCCAGCCGCCGTCGCCGGCGAGGATGCCATGAGCAAGCGAGCCCGTTTTTCCAAGTACGAAGAGTACATCCGCAAGTTGAAGGCCGGGGAGCAGGTGCCGTGGCCCATTCATCCCGCCAAGGCCGAGGAGCTGAGCAGCAAACTCAACAAAGAGGGGCCCCTGAGTTTGGGGCCACCCATCCGGTTGCCGGCCCCCGAACCGTCGCTCCTGCCCGAGACGAAGGCCACCATTCTGCCGCTGCCTTCATCCAGTGGCTCCCCCATGCAAGGGCTGATGTCGCGGGCTTCCAAGTACGATTTCTTCATCCAGAAACTCAAAACCGGAGAGACGCTCCGGCCGCAGAATGGCAACACCTACAAGAAGACGTCCAAGTACGACTTGGAGAACGTCAAATATTTGCATCTCTTCAAGCCCGGAGAAGGCAGCCCGGACATGGGAGGAGCCATCGCCTTCAAGACGGGCAAAGTGGGTCGCCCGTCGAAATACGATGTCAGGAACGTCCAGAAGATTACCCCAGTGAAAGCGCCAGCCCCTAGCCTGGGTCCCAACCCTCTTGCCAGCACTCCCAGCAGCACCCCTGTAGCTGGCCCGGAACAACCTGTCTCTCTGCCCTTCAGCACTCCAGAGTACCTTAAATCCACTTTCTCCAAGACAGATTCCATCACCACTGGAACAGTTTCCACTGTGAAGTAAGTCCATCGCCGTACGCGGGGAAGGGCAAAGCTCCCAGGTTCCAACGTGCAGCCTTCTCTGCGGGTGCAGAGCCGAGAAAGACCACGTTGGCTGGGTGGTTGCAGTCCTGCGCATCTGCAGGGTGCGCAGCTGGGGTTGAGACCCTTCAGATGTGCTCTAGGAAAGCCTTCAGGGTCCTCCTTTGGCTCTGAAGGGTGACGGGGGAGGCGGCGGGACTAGAAGTGGTTGAAAGGTAGATCAAGTAACTTTATGGCTTAGGTGCTAGGTTAGGGGTCTCCAACCGTGGCATCTTTAAACCTGGTGGACTTCAACTCCCAGAATTCCCCAGCCAGCCTGACAGACTTCAACTCCCAGAATTCCCCAGCCAGCAAAGCTCTGGGATCAAATACGATGTGACACTTAAGGCAGGTAGTCCTGGACTTAACGGCCACAGCTGAGCCCCCCAAATTCCCGTTGTTAAGTGAGACATTTGTTAAGCGAGTTTTGCCACTATTGTTAAGGGAATCGCTGCAGTGGAAAAGTTAGTTACCCTGTAAAACTGCCTTTCCCCATTGATTTTGCTTGTCAGAAGGTCGTAAAAGGGGATCACATGACCCTCAGGACACTACAGCCGTCTTAAATGCGAGTCAGCCATGGACAGAAATTTTGAGCTCAACTGTGGTCATAAGTCGAGGACTCCTACTTGTATTCCGGTGGCTGCAGGTAGTCCTTGACTTACAACATTTTGTTCAAAATTACGACGACACTAAGAAAAGAGATTTATGAGCTTTGCCACAGTTAACGACTGTTGCAGCATCTCTGTAATCACGTGATCAGAATTTAGACGTTCGGCATCCGACTCCTATTTACGACGGTTGCAGCGTCCCGGGGGTGTGTGTGTGTGTATCACACAATCCCCTTTTCCGACCTTCTGGCAAGCAAAGTCAGCGGGGGAAGCCTGATGCGCTCAACATCTGTGTGACCAACCTAAGAAGTGCAGCACTTCCCTTCACAAATGTGCCAAGAAAGGTCATAAAGTGAGACCAAACTCGCTGAACAACTTGTCTCACTCTGCAACAAAAAGGTTGGGCTCCGTTTTGGCCATTAAGCCAAGGACTTACCTGCATTTGCAGCCGAGGAATAAGAACGGGGCGAGAGGACAAGTGGTGAAATGCTACCGGTTCACACCGGTTCAACCGATCCGGTTGTTAAAAAAAAAAGCTCGAACGATCAGTTGAGAGAAAGAAGAGAAAAGCGCGGGATCAGCCCTCTGTTCTTGATCCTCTCAGCCTCCGCCGGTGCTTGGAAAGCTGCATGCACACGCATTAGGTGCGCGCATGCACATGCAAAGTGCGCAATCCTCAAACCGGTAGGGAAACTGGTAGAAACCCACCGTTGGAGAGGACAGAGGCAAAAGGGTAATTCACGGGTGGCTCTAGCGAGTAGCAAAACATGAACCTTTGGGCCTGATCCAGCCCAGATCTTCTGAGGATCTTACACCAGGTTGGATGGTCTGAGGTAGATCAGGAAGGCTTTCTTGGTTGGGGGGGGGGGGGGGGGGATTCTCCTACAAATGGGAGTTGCAGTAGTTTGAGGTCCTGCAACGGAAAGGAAAAATTGAGGGATCTTTTCCAGCTGGGCCTTGCTTCTCATTTCTTTGGGCTCAGGAATATACAGCTAATCCTCAGCTTACAACGGTTTTGTTTAGTGACCATTCAGAATCAGGATCAGAACAGAGCTGGGAGGGACCTCAGAGGTCCTCTAGTCCATACCCCTGCTCAAGCAGGAGAACCTAATACCATCTCAGACAAGTGACTGTCCGGGTCCATCCAATGGCACCGAAAAATGTGGCTTTACGACTGTTTTTTTCAGAGTTACGACCTCGGTAGCATCCCCAGGATCCGCGTGATCGAAATCCAGGCGCTTGGCAACTGTCTCCTATTTATGACGGTTCGCCGCGTCCCGGGGATGATGGGTTTCCCCTTTGGCGACCTTCCGACAAGCAAAATCCATAGGGAAGCCAGATTCATTTAACAACCAGGGTTGCTCACTTATCCACCGCAGCGATTTGCTGAGCAACCGTGGCAAGGGAGGTCGTAAAATCGGGCAGCGCTCACTTAGCAAACCGTCTCCCTTCAGCCGCAGGAGTTCTGGGCTCAGCTGCGGTCGTAAGTCAAGGATGACCTGTACTCTGGGATTGATTCCCCACTCCCACCCCGAACCCCTGTTTTGCCCCGGGTGCAGTGGCTGGATCACGGTTTCCGGTGATCTAAGAGATCCCAGGGAATCCAAAATCTGCTTTCCCCGCACCCAGTCCTTAACGATGACAACGGTTCTGCCGCATGGTTTATTTTGTTTCTCGCATGTCCCCTATTTCCAGCATAGCGAGCGGGTGGGGAGGCTGAGGGGGAGCCGGTGGCGGAAGGGAAATAAAAAACAAACCCCCAATAATATGAAAAAAAAAACAAACCCAAAACTTAAGCGAAGTCGAAGGAAACGCCCGAGCGAGAAGTCAGGTGCCGGCCTCCCTCGCCTGGCCCTTTCAGCTTCTCGGCCACCGATTCCTTGGCGGGCTGGCGTTGGGCTTGGCTTTCATCCAGGCCAGGGAGAGAGTCGCTCCATTGCAAAACCAGCTGTGAGTGGCACTCCGGACCCCCCCTTTTAAATCACCCGTCTCAGACAAGAGCATGTCAAGGGCAGCCAGATGTGAGCCGTCAATCTCTGGAAAGGCTTGGTTCCAGGAGTCTCTTTATCATTTGGTCCAAGTTCTCCTCTCCTCTCTCCTCCTCTCCTCTCTCTTCTGTCCTCTCCTCCCCTCCTCTCCCCTCTCTCTTCTCTCTTCTTCTCTCTCTCCTCTCTCTCTCTCTCTTCTCTCCTCTTCTACCTGCCCCCATTCCTCTCCTCTTTCTCCGCCTCTTCCTCCTCTCCTGTCCTCTCTCTTCTTTCCTCCTCTCCTCTCTTCTCCTTCTCTCTCTTCTCTCCTCTCCTTCCCACCCCTCCTCTAGTCTCCTCTCTCCTCCTCCTCTCTCTTCTCTCCTCTCCTCTCCTTCCCTCCCTTCCCCTCCTCTCTTCTCCTCCCCTCTCTTTCTGACACACTCAGAGTTCAGGTAAAACTTTGGCAGGGTGAAGGTGGCGTTGGGGGTAAAAGTGAAAGACATCAACGGTGATTTTTATGGGAGCCTCGGTGTGGCTTACCTGCCTACCCTAAGAATCCTTGAAAAGACTAAGCCAAGAATCCCGGACTTTAAGGAGCGCTCGGTGTGAGATCTTTCCTTCAGTTGTTTGCCTTTCGCCCAGCCTCCAAGGCAGGTATCAGGTTGAAAAAGAGAGACGATTAGGCAAAGGAAGAGGCTACAGTCTTGTGTGAACTAAGTCCATGTTAAGTGAGGAAATCCTTGCAAACGGGCCATGGAAGAAGCTCAGTTTGGCATTGAGAATGGACAGCATCTCCAGCTTCAGAAAAGCATCAAAGATCTTGGGAAATGTCCTTCTGCCTGCCTGGAGAACTCCAACTGGGATTTTGGGGCTCCTCAAGTGCAGATTTTCTTTGGTCACATGCAGGGTAAAGTATAGTTTTATAAGCATGGGCCAAGTGATTGCCTTCATCAAGCCTTCAATAAACCACTGGCAACCATCCTTTGGAGAATAAGCAATAGCACTTTAGACTTATATACCGCTTTTGCAGCCCTCCCTAAGCAGTTTACAGATTGCCCCTAACAATCTGGGTCCTCATTTTACCCACCTTGGAAGGATGGAAGGCTGAGTCAAGCTTGAACCAGTCAGTCATGATCGAACTGCTGGCAGTAGGCAGAGTTAGCCTGTAATATTACATTCTAACCACTGGGAAGGAAAGAAGGAAGGAAGGAAGGATAAAAAGGAAAGAAGGAAAATAGCAATAGCACTTATATACCACTTTATGGTGCTTCCCAGCCCTCTCTAAGTGGTTTACAGAGTCAGCCTCTTGCCCCCCAACAATCTGGGTCCTCATTTGACCCACCTCAGAAGGAGGGAAGGTTGACTCAACCTTGAGCCTGGTGGGATTCAAACTGCCAAATTGCAGTCAGCCGGCAGTCAGCAGAAGTAGCCCTGCAGTACTGCACTGATCACTGTGCCACCGAGGTTCTTGCGGGTGGACTTGGGTGAGGTGCTCTTTAGCGAGCCAGAGATGAGGAAACCCATGCGCCCCTCTGGGCCACGTCTCTGTCCTATGGACGCAGTCTTTGGGTGGGTGGGGGGCTGGGGGGAGCAGGGGCGGGGTGGTGGGGCTTGATGCATCTCCTGATACCGCCTGGTGCTAACCATCTCTGCCCTGTGTGTGTGCTTCTCATTAGGAATGGATTAACCACTGACAAACCAGCTGTCACCGAAGATGTAAATATTTACCAGAAATATATTGCCAGGTAGGCCGATGTCCCTTCCCTGCTCTGCCTTGGGGTGCCGGGAGAGGGTGGACTTTGCAGGACTTTGCAGCTGCCCGTCTGGGTGCAGTGTAAACCACCAGTCAGGAGGCTTGAATCTGTCGGATGTCCACGCTGACTGCCCCACTGCTATCAATGCCACCTCTCCTGCTCAGACCCTCTCAATTAATCAATCAATCAATCAATCAGAATAGAGTTGGAATGGATCTTGGAGGTCTTCCAGTCCAACCCCTTTCCTGGGAGACTCTCTACCAGGGGTCGGCAACCTTAAACACTCAAAGAGCGCAAAGGTTCTAACCGGAAGCTCCCCGTTCAATTCTGGAGCCGACCGGAAGTCCACTTCCCTCACCATGGAGTCTCCTCCTACCGCAGTGCCCTTTTTCCTCTGCCGACCGGAAGTCCGCTTCCCCCACCATAGAGTTTCCTCCTAGCTCAGTGTCCTTTTTCCTCTGCCAACCTGAAGTCCGCTTCCCCCACCATAGAGTCCCCTCCTAGCGCACTGCCCTTTTTCCTCTGCTGACCTGAAGTCCAGTTCCCCCACCATAGAGTTTCCTCCTAGCGCGGCGTCCTTTTTCCTCTGCCTCTCCTAACCGAAAGCCCTATCAATTGTGCAGCCAGCTGGCGACAGGGAGCTGCAGCAGAGGAATGAAAGAGCCACATGCGGATCTAGAGCCGCGGGTTGCCGACCCCTGCCCTATGCCATTTCAGATAGATGGGTGTCCAGTTTTCTTAAAACTCCTTTGGCTTAGGGGAAGAGTTGTGGCCAGCTCCATTTCCCCAAGACCCTTCCCCTGCCTGGGCAGCCTCTAATCAGGAGAAATGTTGCAATTAATCTCCGTGGGCCGTATCCTGAGCCTCTGTTGCCTTCACTGAGACATTGTGGCATTCATTGGGAATTTCTGTCCATCCCTTGAAGACCTTCCGGCTGGGATTGGGAGGTTTCGTTAAATCGTAACCATCGTAATCCAGCTTGGTAGTCTTTCCTCTCGATGTTTTAAAGCGAAGAGTGGAACATCCTCCTCCTTAGAAAAGGGCAAGATATTCCGCTTTCCATGCCCGGCATGATGTGTTTTGTGACCCTCAAATGAAATGACACCATCACACATGTACACACACATCCTGAATCTGTTTGCAAGGCACCAATGGGAATAACAGCACATGATACAGACCAGCCGTCTCTGTGTCTGTTCCCTTCAGCCGGGTTGGGCTGTCACAGCTCCCATCATCCCCAGCCAGCAAGGCGGAGGCATTCATAGGGGCACGGGATCGAGGGCAGCTAGCGGGCTCTGCAGATAATCTCCCGTTTTCAAATTGCCCTTCAGCGCCCTGAAAATTCCTCTCCAGCTGTAAATGATTTAACAGCGCATTTAACCAGACATTATCCAACCAGGTAGCCACGATATAAGGGTGGTCAGAAACAAAGTAATCAGGTGTTTAATTTCTCCTTCCCTCTCTTCTTCTTTCCCCCCCTTCTTTCTCCTTGTCCCCCTCCCTCCATTCTTTGAAGATCAGAATTGATTCTGAGCCATATGAGTAACTTTTGCATTGCTGCATCTGAAGGGCAACTCCGATGCACGTCTCTTGCGCCCACCCGCACACGAGCGCACACACGGAGCACACTTTCTTCTGCTCATTGTTTTCCCTGCCCGAAGTCCTTCCCCTCGGGGCCCTTAAATCACACGGTGGGGCCAGCTTGATTAGCAGTCATAAGCTCATTATTTTAAGCTGTCTCTCTCTCTCTCTCTCTCTCTCTTTCTCTCTCTCTCTCTCTCATACAAGACAAGGAGAGATGAGGGTTTGTCCTTTGCCAGCTGCAAAAGGCAGTTTCTTCTCTCAGTTTCCATCAGAGCCGGCATTTCTCGAGATTAGCAAGGCCGTCTTAGGGTTAAAAGTCAAAAGGGGGAGAGAGAGAAAGAGAGAGAGAGAGAAAGAAAGAGAGAGAGGGAGAAAGAGAGAGGGGGGGAGAGGGAGAAAGAAGGACACACACAGAGAGAGAAAAAGACAGAGACAGAAAGAGAGAGAGTCAGAAAGAGAGAGAGAGAAAGACACACACAGAGAGAAAGACAGAAAAACAGAGAGAGAAAGACAGAAAGAAGAACAGAAAGAGAGAAAGAAAGACAGAAAGAGAAAAAGAAAGAAAGACAAAGATAGAGAAAGGACAGAAAGAGAAAGAGAGAAAGACACACACACAGAGAGAGAAAGACAGAGAGAGAAAGACAGAGAAAAGAACATAGAGAGAAAGAAAGACAGACAGAAAGACAAAGAGAGAGAAAGACAGAAAGAGAGAGAAAGAGAAAGAAAGACAGAGAGAAAGACAGAAAGGACAGAAAGAGAAAGAGAGAAAGACACACACAGAGAAAGAGAAAGACACAGAGAGAAAGACAGAAAGAGAGAAAAGAACAGAAAGAGAGAGAAAGAAAGACAGAAAGAGAAAAAAGAACAGAAAGAGAGAGAGAGAGAAAGACACAAGAGAGAAAGAGAGAGACGATCTCTTGGGCCAAAGTCCAGGCGGTGCCCGACCTGAGACAGCGTCAATTTTGCTGGTGACACCCTACCTGCCTTTGAAGAGCCCCTGGCCTTCCCCACTCCCAAGACCCCTTCGATTCACCCTGCGCCATGAAACCCTCCGAAGCGTAACATGTGCAACTGTTGGAAGGAACGACGGAGCGTCCGGGAAAATGACTGGCGTGTTTTCTCACGATTTCTTTCGTAGCCTGCCAGTCTCGTGACAGCCGGGACCTCTCCAACTCTCCGTCCAGCCTCTTTTAAGTTAATTGAATGCACCCTGTGGTGCCTTTGGGAAATGGGGATTTCGAGCTCCACATTTGGGTGTGTGTGTGGGGGGGTGCACACAGAGAGGGATTGCATTGTATCTCTCTGGAGCTCCATGGGCTTAAACGGTTTGGTCAAAGAGGCGCTGCGGAAAGCTGTCGGGAGAAGTCGCCTTTATGGACCTCGCCAAAACGAGCCTCTTTGAGGTGCAGCCGGAGTCTTTTTCATCCTCTCTCTATTTACATTTCTTTTTTTTTTTTTGCTTTCAGACTCATTATTTATTATTATTGGTGCCCTAACAGATGGTTCAGCTGCAGATCTTGCTTAAATATTTATTTACACAAGCCTTTCCCCTCCCTTCTACCCATCACTTGTAATTGGGGTGGGTTTGGTATTGGGCGGTTGGTTGGGGTGTGTGTGTGTGTCTGTGTGTGTGTTTTCGATCCCCTCTCTCCCCCGTCATGCACATCATCGTTATAAAGTAATGAGCGTGTAAACAGTTGCTAAGCAGGCTGACTTCTGTATTTATTATTTTTATTAGTATTTATTTACGCTGGGTTTTTCCTCGGTCGCCTTGACCAAATCTGGCAAGCGAGGGAATGAAATAAAAACGAGGGTTTTGCAATGGCAAGTGCGTGCTCCAGACGTCGTCCCCATTTGAACGCTGGCCTATCTTTTTTATTTATTTATTTTAGGGAATTTATATCGCTGCCTATTCGCACATGGCGACTCAAGGCGGCTTACGAGAATATTACAATTACAATATTGTCGTCAAAAGCAAGGAGAGGTGGTCCCCAGCTTTGTCCTGCTTTTAAGTTTGATTTTTTTTTTCCTACGGTTGCCCTGTTGTGAACTGATTCAGATTATTATTATTATTATAATACACAAAAATGACCGTGCACACAGCAAACGAGATAACTATGCTGGGTTTTGTATCACAAATCACTAGTCGAACACTTCCCAGGCGTTTAGGACTGTATGGTGTATCGGCGGATTATGGAAGCAGATCCCAGTAAGGTGGCCTTCTGCAGCTGACCAAGGGTGATTTTGTCAGCGCCAATTGTTTTTAAGTGCTTGCCTAGGTCTTTAGGCACAGCACCCAGTGTGCCCAGTACCACTGGAACCACCTGCACTGGTTTATGCCGGAGTCTCTGCAGTTCGATTCTCAAGTCTTGATATCTAGTGATTTTTTTCAAGTTGTTTCTCACTGATTCTGCTGTCACCAGGTATGGCAATGTTGACGATCCACACTTTTTTCTTCTCCACAATCATGATATCCGGGGTGTTTTGCTCCAAAACTTTGTCAGTCTGTATTCAGAAGTCCCACAGTAGTTTAGCATGCTCATTTTCGACCACTTTTTCAAGCTTATGATCCCACCAGCTACAGGCAGATGGTAGTTGTGACACAAGTTCCAGTGTACCATCGGAGCAACAATGTTGTGACGTTGTTTGTAGTCAGTCTGAGTGATCATCCTCATCATCATCGATGTTGTTGTTGTTGTCTGATGCTGCAGTATGTTCCCAGAACCTTGATATATGGGGTTGGGGGTATATGGGGGAATACACCATACATTCCAATATCGGATTTTTGATTTGAAGAATTGTAGTATTTTTTTTCCCGTGAATTCCTGGGAATTCTCCATCAGACCTTCCAAGCAGGATTCCACACATCCCAGGAAAGGATACAGGTTTTTATAAGATTACCCCACATAGGAAAAAATCACTCGATATCAGTTGAGAGGCATGGCTGTGGTCTCAGGGAATGACTGTTGATGCTGCGCTTTGTTACGGGAAATTGTTAAGAGGTTTCTTTGGCGGTTTTTTTCCCCCCATCCAATGCTCGAAAAGGCAAGTCCCTTCTTAATATATATATATTTTCCACTGTTCATTTGAAACAAGATACCTATCTACATTGCGTTCATAGGAGATATGCCGAAGAAACAGTCCTTAGATGTTTTCTCTCGCGTTCTGAAGAGACAATCCATTTGCACAATTCCTAAAATTCTAGTTTGAAGAGCTGTTTTGCAGTGGAAAATTCATGGGGGACAGACAGCTGCCTGCAGAATTGCTTTCGGTGAAGTCTTCTTCAGCTTGACGGGATCGTGGCCACAAAGGCAGTAAAACTTTGGATGCAGAAGCATAAAATCAGAAAATATGATCGATTAGAAAACAAGGGAAACACCCCCCCCCCCTTTACGATGTTAAAACCT